TTACTTGAGTTCTGGTAATGTTTAATCTGTTTCGTTAGCCCCATTTGCTAGTAAGAACCATGTGCTCAGTTACCCACCTTCTAACAGGGCTGGTCTCCTTCACTTTCCCCTCACCATCATTTCTTCCCAGTGGCACCCTCTGATAGGTTTTTTTTTTTTGTTTTAGTCTTTCTGTCTCTCCTCTGGCTTTGTTTAATCCATTAATTGCCTTCTCACTAACATTCCTGAAGCGTGACCTTCAGCCAGGTACTAACTACTGTCTAAGGCAAGTAACTGAAGTCGAAAAAAAACTATAATCTGTGATTAGAGCTTAATTAGGACAGGGATGAAGTGTCCTGTTTCTTGTTCTCGGGAGGAAATTATAGCCACACATATATCCGGGATTCCTATTCGGTTTCAGCCCTTAGACAGCAAGTGAGTCCAGATCAATAGGAAAAAAATATGGACTGTGATGCCAGGTTCTCTTGAACATATTATTTTAGGATTAGAGCAACAGAGTAGTGTGTCTTGAGACCACACACACAGCTCATTGTTTTTCTGGGCTATGATTTTGGGGGATGTAAACCCAGAAGTAGAATTTAAAATAAATAACGACAAATATAAATGTATTACACTTGCTTGCTGCCCGACTTCATGACTCTGGCTCAGAATGCCCTCTTTATGCTTCCATTTTAGCATCATGGGAATCCATTCACAAATACTATAGATAGTTCTGCTGTGGCTCCATCCTAGTGGCGATTAAAACAGATAATACCTGTGCCACACTTTTTTCCTTCTTGAATGGGTTGATAGGTATTTTATTCTCCGTATACTCTTTGGGTTGCATTGTTTATCATTATGTTTTTTCCTGGATTTTTTTTAGAAACGTTGAACAATTGTTTGTTTGTCTTCAGAGTCTTCCCGGGATAATATTACTTCCTTTTCAAACATACTTTGTTCCATTAATATTTCCCCCCACATTCCAGCCACGCTAAGCAAATCTGATAAATTCTTATTATCTTTTTTTCTTTGGATTCCCTTAACATAAGTTTTACTTTTTAAAGTTTTTCCCCTAATTCTATAAGCCCAGGTCTTTCTTAATCTTAATTACATTTTGTATTTGGATGAAGTTGCTTTGGCTTTTTCATTCTCTTTGCTTGCCTGTGTGTATCTTCGAGAGTCTGTTTCATGTGATTTGACCTGAATTGTTTATTGTTACATTACTATGCTGTTACTCAGCACGACCTTGAGTTTGCTAAATTGTTTTTTCCCCATTAGGCCATTGTTTTCTATGCCATCTTAAGGCTTCCTTGGTGTTGGCACTAACCAAAACTCTCTTACATTCTGCCTGGGAAAGCAGTGAAAAGGAATTGACAATTTAAGTGGAAAAAAATGGTTAAAAATGACAATTTATTTACTATAGTTGTGGCCTTTGGTCCATCAAATTATTAGTATTGTTATGAACAGTGCTTTGTTTCATTCTTCCCAATACCCAGCTATAGATTTCATTATTATTCCCATTTTGCAGATAGGAAACAGCAGGTAGAAACTGTAGACTTGCATAATAATAACTTTCAGTAATATTTCCCCTAAGCCCCCACAGAATTCTGAGCTCTGTTAAAGCAGGATTCCTAATCAGAGATATGGAAGATGCAAGTCTGAGAGTACATAGTCTGACAGGGTAAAACCATTCAAGTTCAATAAGCTTTACTTCCACTTTACTCTGATGTGACCTGGAGAGCATCACTGGCTTAGAGAAAGCATATATATTCTTGGTTTTCCTTCATGTTTGAAAAGAACACAATCTAATAACCCCAAACAAATTAATTTGCAAGTTTTCTTTATGAAAGGGTAGATAAGAAGAAGGAACTTGGAATAGGTCAGTGATGGCGAACCTTTTAGAGACCGAGTGCCCAAAAACTGGCCCCGCCCCTGCTCCACTCCCCCTGCCCGCCCCCACTCTGCTCCCCCATTCCCCGTCCCGCCTGCCCACGGGACCACTCACCACCTCCAGGGCCCGCCGATCACCCAGGCAGCCCTCTGCCCGCGCCACACCCTCTGCCTGCGCCCTGCAGCATCAACTGCATGATGGGGCGTGAAGACAGAGTCTTGTCTACGCTGCCTGGCTGCCATGTCCTTGGCTGCGCTGTTCCGTGTGGGCCACGTTTGAGGGCGAGTCTCCTTCAGGGGGGCTGCTGGAGAGGAGGGGGCCGCGGGGGGAGGCAAGGCTGGGGCAACGGCATGTGTGCCCACAGAGAGGGCTCCGAGATAACCATTCCAAGTTCCAAGATTTGCTATTCTTAAAGCATTTCAGATTGTTTAAGCAATTGTCTTGTGTTGCTGTTTGCAAAACACTTTAAGTATATGAACAGACTGTTGTCTTAAATTCGCTTGCCAGTTTATTCCAGCTACCTGATACAGCGTATAATATAGAAATCTTTCATCTGATTGATAGTACACTATACCATTCCTGATCTCCTTCCTTGCATTATTTTTTAACATCCAGTTTTGATTTGACTTTAGGAGATTTGTACATAATTGGCTCTGTTTTAATGATGGACATTTAGATAATGATGGACATTTAGACCTTCATTATATCTGAACGCATTTAAGGCAAAACAAATCTTACATTATCCTAGAGCCTGATAAGTCACTAGAAAAAGCAATAGGCATAGCAGGCCATCATTTTCCTGTTTCCATAAACAGGAAAATTAAAAACAAAAAACAGGAAGCTGATCTTGAATCATGCTCATATCAGCTGCATTGATTAAATGAGAGGGCAAGAAGATAGGTAATTTTCGGTTTCATGGGCAACATAGGCAAAATTCAAGGACAAAATGATTAGGCAATCATTTATATTTGTTATTGTTTATGTTTGCATGATCCTGGGTTTATTTCAATTTGAACATGTATTGCTAAGCAATTTGAATTTTACATTACCATTCTAATAATCTTGCAGGAACCCAGAATCCCTCTTCTATCCCTCATATATTCCTTTCCTATGTATTTAATAGTCCTGCTCCATCAGGAAGTCACAGAGTACAGGAAAGATGGTCAACCTGTGATCATCCAGACCTAATTGAAATGCATTCTTCATTAGCCATATTCAGGATGGCCTGTTGTGAAGGATGTTGACGTTCAG